TATATATATATATATATTATGCGCTTATTTACTATACAATACTAATAAAATCTTCAAACAAACAAACAAATAAAAATGATGCCCATAAAATCAGATCATCATCATATATGCCTATAAGTAGCTGTAAATGATGCACAAGGTCATCATAAATATATAGCTGAAATCTGAAATATTTGTCCGGTTATTGGTATAATATACTGAAAAAATGGTGTATGTAAAAAAACATACATATTGTGTTAAACATGAAATTGTGAAGCAACAGTGCACAGCTCTCTGCAACAGCAGATTTTAATATATATTTACATTTCTGTAATTGTATAGCCATACATTCAACAAAACTTCACTTAGAATGTAAATACAGATATTCAACTTCAAGTCACCACAATTTACAGAAAAAAGGAATAAATAAACAGGGTGGTGAATTTTTTTCATGACAATTAAGCCCAGACTAAAGGCATTTTATTTAGCTGTCATTACAATACTTTTATGGCATTAAATAGATGAATTCCTGTTATAGTTTTCATTAGCATAAATTAAACATAAAACACCAAAACTACCATGATATGTGAGGAATACACAATTACAATGTAAACAATGAAATGAGATTTGCATGTGTGTATGTCACAATGCATATATGTACATTTATACACATTATCTATGAATAATGTATTTAATGTGATGTATGGGAAGAAACCACACCTACTATTCAAACCAGACTGCGGGAGCACGCTGAAAGATGTGGATCAACTACCATCGGCTCTCGACATCATTTAAAACGCTTGACTTCTAGTTTTACTAGTTCAGTGTGTTAGACACCTCCTTCTCTACTAATGCATGTCAAGACAGACTGAGCTCCATGAAACCAGCAGCGTGAGAACACCTGTAAACCCAACAACAGCTTCAGCTGCGATGTCTAACCCAGACTACAATCCCTCCTCTTAAAACCCCAGTACCTGCGAGAGGACATGTCTGCAAACCTTCCCGAAGAGGACCTCTCCTGTCCCGTGTGCTGCGAGATCTTCCAGGATCCGGTGCTTTTGCCGTGCAGCCACAGTTTCTGCAGGAGCTGTCTGGAGCACTTCTGGGAGAGCGTGGTCATTCGTAGCTGCCCCGTCTGCAGGAGAAGAGCCTCCAAGAAAAGCCTGGCTTCAAACCGGGCCCTTAAAAACCTGTGTGAAGCATTTCTACTGGGAAGAGGCCAGGGCAGCGCATCTGGATCGAACACCCTGTGCTGGAGACATGGAGAAAAGCTCAAACTCTTCTGTTTGGTGGATCAGGAGCCCATCTGCGTGGTGTGCCAAGCCTCAAAAATGCACAAAGGTCACGACTGCTCTCCCACGGAAGAGGCGGCTCTGGACTGTAAGGTAGAGTTTGACAGTGCCACATTGTCTCGACAAACTGTGTTACATTGTGTTGCTCTCTGTTACTGATTTAAAGC